CTCATCTTTTAAATCTGTTATTTAATCTTCAACAAATCTCTTTGTTTGGACTGGCATATCAGGGATATATTAGTTGCAAAAATTGACGAAAAATATTAGAAAATACTGAAAAATATTTATATAAAAATTAATATACAATTTTAAAAGAAATTAATTTCACATTTTTAGAGATTTTTATACTTATAATTTTATTTTATTTTGATTTTTTAAAAGCGATATAGAGCAGCTGAAACTTGTAAACAAACATATTTACTTCAAAGTGAACATTTCAAAATATCAATAAATCATAAACTTTCTGTTTAAAAGGAAGAAAAACACTTAGTATTTAATAATTTTATACGTTTCTAACAAATTAATTTAAAAAATTCATATTTTTCTATGTAATTTAAACAAAAGAAAAAAAAGTATATTTTTTGTCCGCGAATAACATGAAAATCATTTCTAATTATTATTATAATTTTGTGTATAAAATATACAGCAAAAAAAAAAATTTCTTTTCAGCTCAAAGCTCCAATATTTGAAAGTTCTATTTATATAATTACATTGAATACTGCTGTATATTTATATAAAGAGAAACATTCTTAATGTAGAAATATCATACACATAGAGAAATGGTTTTGAAAATTACACCTTGTATGACCCATTTACTTTTTTTTTTTTTTTTTAATGGTAAAGAAGGTCTCTTGTCGAGCTCTGCTAAGATAGATAATATATAAAAAAAGTAAATTCCCTTCGATATTCAACAATATTTCAAAAGTACCTATCAATATAACAAATCTCTTGGTACACATACAAATATATGAACATTTTACTTCAAAAAAAATATTCGAAAAAGTATTATAATATAAAGTAAAATAAAGTAAAATATTTTAAGAATTTTTGAATAAAATTTTTGGTATTTTAGAATGAATTTTCTTAATAATGTAGGTTTTTATTAGTATTTTTTTTACGTGTTTATAACTATATTTTTTACCGTTGTATCAACGTAACAACATATTTTTCAGTTGGCAGTTACAAATTTTTATTTAGAAAATTCGTTTAAATTAAAAAAAAATGTATAAAAATGAAGAAAGATATTTAGAAAATTAAGATCAATTCTTTTAACAGTTTTTATTTAAGGAATTAATTTTATTCGTCTTTTTTTTTCTTTTAATGTTGAAAGCGTAAACATGTTAACTTTTTCTGTCTCTTACGAATTTAACTGCGACCTAGTTAATCTATTAACTTAGTATAAAAATTTTACTTGTAAAAGTTGCGTAGAAAAACATTAAAACATCGTAAAAAATTTATAAAAGTTAATGGAAATACTTAAAAATTAACACGAGAAAAAAAATATATATATACATTTTTTTTATATATATAAATACATGAAAGTTTTTCGAAATTTAATTAATGTTGAAATTATAACTTCAAATTGTCGTTTAGTTATTTATTAAAATGGCGAGTTAACAAATTCTTAAGCATGAAAATCGTAATATTAATTTTAAAAGAAGAGAATTTTTTATTTAAGAAACAAAAAAAACATTTTATAGATTTAAAAAATAATAAATTAGCTTCAGGAAAAACTCATGAACATGAATGAGGTAGGAGAAAAAATATAGTCTTTTGTTGAGTTGATTTTTTGGTTTGAGTTTAGATCTGAAATTTATATTTACCATAATGGTTTCTGTATTCGGATAGACTTCAAGAAAAACACACTCCATCATGTGCATTCATTCACTGTAAAGTATACGAAAGCAATTTCATTCAGCTGTCTACGATAATCTGGATGAACATGATGGGATCGTGTTGAACAGTTATAGTGACTTTAAGGAGCTTAAAAGAGTATTCCCTCTGCAAATTTTTCTCCTAATCACTCTTTTTCTACTTTAATGCGAAGTAGATTTCAAAAATACCCATTAATGTCACCGATACCTGTTTTGATGGAGTAGAAAATAATTTATTTCCAACCTAGTCAATATGCAAATATTGAAAAATAGCCTGACTCTTTAATTTTAATTAAAAGAAAAAAGATACTCTTATAAAGATTAATACAGATTTATAAATTCCACTTTTATTATTAAAAAGTAAAAAAAGAAGGTAACAATAATTCAAAAAGTTGAGTGTTTAATGTACATAAAATTCACGAAAAATTTATTTAAAGATACTTTTAGAAGATGTTTTCGGAAAGAAGAATTTGCAAAATTTATAAGAGAGAAACGATAGAATGACTCATAAATTTCTTGATATTTTATCAAACTTTAAATATGAATAATTAAGAAACTTTTAAGCTTTAGAAAAATGTTATTTCGGGGGAAGAGAATTTATGAAGAGACACTTTTAAAAGCTTGTGAAATTTTGATGTAGCTACAATATCGTAAATATACAAAAGACATTCTTGTAAAATTTAATCATTAATAAGTATATATGGATTTGGTGTATTTATATAGCTTACTTATAAAAAAAATAGAAAGAAAAATATAATGAATAAATTCTATTTTCTTTTTTCAAAATCAAAATGGAGTCAGTGTGTTGTTAATGTTAAACGATTTTTTTCCCCTTCTTTCGTATAACTTCCCCCAGCAAAGTAATAGGTTTTACTTAAAAAATTTATAACTCGCGATGTTCTTTCAGTTTCCCTTTAACATTTATTACAAGAAAATTCTTTAGAGTACAATCTTAGTATTACTTGGCACGGTACACTACTCGAAATTCCCATTTTCACCTTTTTGAATACTCCCAAGTTACATTTTTAAAAGTCATCCAAACAAAAGCAGTGAACACTCCTAATCTCTATTGAGCATTCCACATGAACAGCTAAACATTAAATTTAAAAAAAAAAATAGACTCTATTCTCGGTTAAATCCACATTTGAAATTCTCATCAGGTAAAATTTCTAAGATTTCATAATAATCATAATAATGATGATAATAATAATAATAATATTTTAAGCTTTCTTTCCGGATAAAAATCAATTTAGAAGCATGGTGAAGATATAACGAGAGTTTGCCATTTTTATTCCATTTTTTAGTATCTTCCTCTCTTTACAGAAAGATAGGAAGGAAGAAAAAAATTAATACATTCCTCAGAAAGGAGACTAGACAACTATTTTTTACGAAATACCTCCGAATCATACTTTTATTTTATTTTATTTTTTCCTATTTTCTACCAACTCAAACAGCTAGTCATTGATGTCATTCGCTGAAGAGGAAGGGGGGGGGTTTAGAAATAGAAATCATCTTCAAACACTTCAAACAGAATTTATTATTGTTTTTTATATATATATATATTTTTACGACTTATATCAACATTATTTTACTATATTAACATCGAATTATTTATGTAACAATAAGAAGAAATGCCTTAAGAAATATAGGATAAAAAAAAAAGAATTGATAAGAATATTAATAAGTTGATAAATATTTAATAAATTATATGTTTTTCTTTTTTATTAAGAAAATAAGAGGAGAAAAAACATGTTCAAAATAAGTTAACATTTAAATTAAATTCGAGTTTTATCTGTTTACATGAGATATATTCTATTTATTTCGTGTCGAATCTGTTTTCTTGGATGGAGAAGAGATGGAAGATGCTGAAGAATATTTAAACAAAAAATTTTATAAATTTTTTCCTATTTGGAAATTGGTTTTATATATATATATACATATATATATTAGTAGTTTAAAGGTTTAAAACGAAAATATACTTTTTATATTTTAACTTATATGAAGGGTAATTATTCGGAATCCATAGAAAATCGAAGGATTCTACAAAGATAGGTAAAAATAAGTATTATTCAGACGATTCTGCATTAAGTAAATAGAGAAAAACTGATTTGATAAAACATGCGAGCGGACAGGTATTAGTAGAAAGAGTAATGTTACAGTAGAGGTCTTATAAAAGCAGTTCACATCTGGATATCTATCGGATCTAAAGACTTTTTCAACTTCATTGAAATTCATTGATATGGCTCCAAACAGTTTGCGATCCTATTCTATTGATGTCGACATATAAGTTGACAGTATTTGCAGCAACTAAAACCGGGATTAAAGAGAAAAAATTCTTTTAAAGGGAATGTAATATAGTTATAACACAATGTGTACCACTCGGTACCGATAGATAGATATTTCAGTGTTTTAGAAATTCCCAATGATCTTTGCAATACAGATTTAGGATTCATTACATAATTATGTAAATGAGAGTAGCGAATGTACATTCTGAAGGAAGGTGAAGCAATTTCACATATCCAATATCTAGAGATAGAGTCAATAAGTTGGGATTATATTGATGTCTAAAAGAATTTCTCTTCAGTTAGTTTTTTTTTCCATTTATAATGTTATTAAAAGACATTCTTCGGATGTATCTGCATATCATTTTATATTTTTAATAAATAAATTCTTGAAATATTTTCGTCCATTTAAAATTATTTTCCAGGTTTATAGCTAAGAAACGTTGAAAATAAAATAAAAAGAAAAAAATCAAAGTTAAAAGTGCTTTACTAAAATTTAAATACAAATAATAGAATTTAATAAAAATTCCCATTCTTCTTTATATTATTTTTAATGTAAGTAACTGGAAATTGTAGGAAAATTAAATTTATTAAATAATGAAATCTGTTTAAGAATTTAATTCTAGAATAAAAATATTTATTATATATTTATAAATATAAAAAATTAAAATTAAATCAAACAGAATTCATAGAATAAAAGGAAAAGAAACCGAATTAAATTAAGGTAGATAAATAAGTAAAGAAAAGTAAACTTATCCAAAAATATAATTTTGTTAAAGTGAGTAAATCTACTAGTTAAGATCTTTTGAAAAGAGATCTTAATTAGCAATTCCCATGTAACTATATCAGAGTTAAGTTTTAAGATGATTACGCTTTAAACATGTATTTAAAATAATTGAGTTTACTACTTCTACCTTAAATTCTTTATTTAATTAAATTTGACTACATAATATATTATATTTTTTTCTATTTTATAAAAGTTAATAATGACCGAAAGCAATTTTTGACTCACCTAATTCTAAATACCTTTGGTTAATTATTTCGTACTCGTGCCATAAAAATCTTTCAACTCTTCTTTTGTTACTCCTATCGATGGTTAATTCGGATTCCATGTCGGATGGATTTGGATCGCTTGATAGGTAAAACAAGGAGGAAAAAAAAATTAACAGTGGTACCTTACCGAAAAAAACATTACTTATTTAATTTGAACTTACCCAGTTTTAGCAAAATTTGTCCAGTGCAACATGGTCGTTTCGGCTAATAGCACTTCTGATCGTGTATAGTTAGCTTTAAAATGGGATAGAGTACCGACAATCGGTACACCGAACACGTAGGGTAATTCTTCTCCATGAATGGCTCCAAGACGTTGAGAATAATCACCATTCTCTGTTTGATAAGTAAATACGTAGAAATAGGTTCTGGAGTTAAGAGCCGAGTGGATATTACCTGCTTTTATTAAAGGAGCAGTGATTAAAGCGTCCCCTAATGCTTTAGAAGTTCCTTCTAAAACGCTGAAAGCGTGATGTGGTGGCCTGTTCCAATCCGTGTACTCGTTGACAATCGTCAAGAAGATTTCTTGTAAGTGGTAAATAAAAAGGTTTTTAACTAGCGATTGAAGTAACGTGTTACGTCGATCCACATCCAGACCGGAACGTTCCTCTTCGGCCGTGAAGAGAAAAAAAGATTCGATCCTGGTCACGCCGAACATTAGCGAGTACTGCTGAAAGATTGTATTGTCGTTAGACATCAGTTCCTCGGGTTCTTTTGGCACAAGTATACCATCTATTGTCGGACCGAATGCTGACAGGTAATCAGAGGTAGTTATGGATACTGCTAATATGTCTTCTACTGTGTGTTGTCTCATGCATTCGACCAACGCGGCATTGTCAACCATTGGACAATTGAGTGTAGATGCCAATTTGCTGGTGTGGTAAATAGCCTGGCGTGCTATTGCCCAGGGGCTTAGTGCTGATCCACTCTGCATAATGGCTTTCTGAAATAAACCTGCAATGGAACGTGCTATAATTATAAATCTTCAACCTTCGATACTACATTAATTCATTATTATAAATATTTATAAACACAAAAAAATATACACGAAATAAGGAGGGAAAAAATTGAAATTTGGAGATTCCTGAAGCTGAAAAACAATTGCGAGTTGAATAGTTTCCTCAGGAAGTGTTTTCTTTTGGGAGTTTCTTAATTTCCTTTCAGTTTTTTCCCTTCTCTATTGTTTTTCCAAATTTTTAAATGTTTTTGTTTATTTTATTGTAAATGTTTAAAGAGATTAGGAAGCTCACGGTAAAAAACAGAAAAAACAATAATGATTGCATAATTTCATTTTAGATTATACATTATTCTTTATTTTTTCTTAAACAAAAAATCGGTGAATAATTATAAAGTGAAACTTTGTGATGAATATGTTTAAGTTATCGATTTTATATCCGTCTCTTACCTTTAACCATCGGTGATATCATTAGCAAATTAACACAGGCAGCTCCGTGTCCATGACCAAATATCGTTACATTTTCTGGATCCCCGCCAAAATTTATAATATTTTCTTGAATCCAATGAAGTGCCGCCACTTGATCCAAAAGACCGTAATTACCCCTTGTTGTACCATCTACTGTTGGCAAGAAACCTCGAAAATTAAAAGTAAAATACAAATTTAGTATATAACGTGACTTGAAAATAATCAAAAATCAATATACACTTTTCAACTTTTTAAAACTTTCGACTTAACTTTAACCATAAAAAAAAGAATAAAAAAAATAATAAATAAGTTCTAGAGATTATCCAATATATTTGTATTAACAGATCAAATATGAAAACCTTTAGATGCGTTTTCTATTGATATAAATATATATATATAAATAGGGGGAAGAAGAGAAAGGAACCCAATTTCTTTCTTTGCTAAGTTTGTATCGATCAGGTGGATATCAAACAACTCATTCAATTCTTGTAGAAAGTAATTAAAGTTAAGGCTGCATCGCAGAACTTGCATGGATAATTTCGTATCTGGATGCAGCTGGTGCCGAAGAAATCATCTTCGGGGAAGGATTATGACAATAGATTATTTCGATTTTGTGCAGGAATGAAATATTAGCATAAGATACGCATTAAAACTATTAAAATATTCAGACATGCTTAGTTTAAACGTGATATATATATATACAATTATATTTTATTTTTTATGCTGTGTAAGCAAAATATAATGAAGTAAAACTTACCGAATATGCCTAATCTATAATTGATGGTGACTACCACGACTGAACTAAAACTTGCTAGTACGCTACCATCGTAAGGATTGCCAGAATTCCATTCGTAAGATTCCCCATGAATGTATACCATAACAGGTCTCTTCGCTGTTTCTCTGTCTGGATTAAAAAGGGTTAATTAGTGTTAAATCACTGTTAATCCTTTGTTAAGCTCACATTTTAATAAATGATGAGCTATTCTCTTCAACGTTGAAAACTTCCTCTTTACTAATTTACTCTTTTCGATTTGTAAATTAGTCAGAGAAAGTTTATAAAATCAAATATAAAATTTTATTAAATACTAAATAAATAACAAGTTTTAAATGTATAAATGATATTAAAATCGTACGGTAGACTTATTTTAATTAAATTATAATTTCTAAATTAGTTCTCTTCACTTAACTGAATTCGCTAATTATTTATATAATCTGTATATCTATAGAGACTGAATACATATATCTGTAGGCAAATTTTAAAAAAAAATTAAAGAAATAATAAGATTTTATAACAATTTATACAACACTTTCATTTTTATTTATATATACATTATTCAAAGATAGAAATTAATTTGTAACTCTAAACGTTAATCTGTGACTAGAAGCTTTAAAGAAGATTTAAAAAATACCTCATTTATTATCAAGAAAAGTACTATTTTTCAATTGGAATATACGTCAAAAATTTTAATTTATGACCAGAACAGAATTCCCATTCAATAAGCTTTCTTTCACTTCATTCTTATGTTGTCAATACAAAATAAAGTCTGCAGATGGCATCTAAAACAACTATAATCCAATTCTCAGGTTTTTCTAAACCGAAATTTTCCGAATCTGTTTATATCAAATTCTTCGATTTTTGCTCTTACTCAAACAATATCTTTCTCTCTATTTTAATTTTTTTTTCCTAAAATAAAAATATTTTTTTATTAGCTACATTCGTAAATATTTTAAAGAATAAACACGCTCTTAGCAAAATATCGACCATCATTTCAACGTTATTTAATTAAAAATTTACTATTTAATATTCTTAAAATAAGATTTTATCCTTATATTTTATAATATAAAGAGAAAGTAAAGTCGTATTTTTTTTAAAAAAGCAGAAACGATTTCTAATCTTTAAAATTTTCATAACAGTAGAATATGTACTTTATGATGTTTTCTATCTAATAAAAATTTATAGTTATGTACCAAAACTATTTCTTCTATTGGATATTCTACATTTATTTCAATGTAGCATAAAACATCCACGAAGATATGTTTAAAAAGTTTTTCCTTCATATTTTTTCTTTTATTATTCTAACTTTACATACCGCAATTCTTCGTCTTATTTACATAAAAGCTACTAGCAAACAAAAATTATAAACAAACTGCTTTAACTTTAACTTGTAAGAGCTTAACTTTACCTATACTTTCTTATATATATACGTATATTTTACATATTGTATACTATATATTTTTGAATTGTGGTATTGTATATATTCGTCGATTTACAGTTTTACTTGAATTGGCAATAAAAGTAAAGTGATTTACATCCAATTCGGAGGAAACATATATTAAAAAAAAAGAAATGTTTCTACGTAAAGAAAAAAAAACAATTGCTTATTAAAGTATAGAAAACAAAATACAAACTTTAAAAAAATTGTATATAAATATTTTAAATTTATAAAACTAAACAAATATACTGTTGAACTTTATCGAACAATTTATGCAGATGTTGCTTCTCAAGCAATAATTTTCTGCAAAAGTAAAATGTAGGAATTTGCACTCGGACAAAAGGAATTTCACTTGACTGCATTTTATCTAGTTTTTATTTTCTTTAATATTAATGTCTGTATCTTATTAATTTTCATTCATTTCTATGTAGAAAAAAAAATTAACTTAAAATATTGTTAAATGGATTTTAAAGTTTTAAGAAATGTTGTGAAATAAATTTTTGTGAGAGCAAATATTTTATTTAGTACGCAATTTATTTTATTGTCGGAAGAAAATCGCATTTTTATTGTTAAATAAAAAAACGGAGAAATAAAATAAATAAATCTAAGCAAATTTATTATTTAAATATTTATAATTTTCATGCAATAAAAATATTATTACCATTTTTTTTTTTACTTTTGATAAATTGTCTTTAACCACTTCTACATAGATTAAAATATAAATTAATGATTATAATAATTCGATAAAAAAAATCTAAAAATGGATATAAAATAATCCAATTTATATAGAAATTCTAGATTAAGTTATAGATAAATAAATTTTCTAGAATTGCCATATTTTACTATAGAACCATAATTCGGAGTTATTAAATTATATAAATTTAAGTATTGCTTATAAGTTTTTCTAAAATTGATGCCATTAGATAATTGTAAACATTAAATATTAGGACTTAATTAATATATTTTTACATATAATAACGTTTAAAACATATTTAAGATCGTTAAATATAATTATAATATATAAAATTTAAAAAATACTTTTTTTAAAAGCTGAAAAACTATGTAAGAAGACATAAAACTTTACACGAAAAGATGTAAAAGCTAATATATCAAAATACAGCATTTTTAGAAAAAAATATATATATATATATTTCCCCTATTTCTTAAGAAGAAAAGAAACATTTTCAAATCTTGATATTTTGAAAGTTTTTGCATTTTATTTTCGTATAAAATAATACAAAAAAAGAAAAGAAAAATGTTCTATTTGTTCCCTATTTAAAAACAATTTCAAAAATATTTTAACCTTTTTGATATATGAAGCAATTTTTCACATAGACCTACTATAAGAAGATGGCCTCTCATGACAAAACTGATATATACCAGACCGTCATTTTACCTCATGTTTCCTGAGATCTCGATCTGAATCACGTACGTTTCATCTGATTACAATTTTTTTTTAAATTGGAAATAAGCCAAAGCAATTTCTAAAATTCTAAAAAAAAGAGAGAGAAAAACAAGCAAAAAATTCTAACAGTAGCCAATTTATGAGTAAGTAATCTTACCGAATAGAAAATAAATAAATCTGATAAATAAAATTCCATTTTACCACTTTAAATTACGAATATAACTAAATATTTTAAATATCGAATAGTTTATATATAATCAGTAATGACCTTTGATATTTCTATACACCTGTAACAGTAACTTCAAATAACATTACTTTAGTAACCTGGCTTCTTGACACCCTCTAATCAATTATTCCTTATCAATATAAAGCAGGGTAAAAAAATTATTCTGATAATCAATTTTTCACCAACGATTCTTACAAACTTGTAACATGTAATAATACATGGTAAAATGTAATTTATCTTTCGCGTAAAAACACGTTTTATAAATACTTGACATTATCAATTAAGATGAATTTCATATTTTAATATTTAATATTCTTCTATTTCTTTTATTCTTTTTTATTATTCTTCTTCTTCTTCTGTACACCTGTAAGCAGAAAATATCTCCCTACCAACAGAAAAACCTATTCTTTTCAAGCTAGGAACCTGTTTCAATAAAGGTTATGGACATGGCTTTCTGTTCAGTATAAAGTATCAGATCTATTCTTGCCACGTTTCTTTTCACTAAACTGAAAAGGTTTCAGGTTTCAATTTCTAAATTTACTTTACAGTTCGCTTTTTTAGATAAATATATAAATATATATTTTTTTTTTCGGTATTTTTAATAAACTTAAAATTTATTATACAATAACTTATTGGTATACTTTAAGTAAATCTTATTGTAAAATTATACGATAAATGAATATGCAGACATATATTTTCATAAGTATGAGAGGGGTGGTTCAACTCTGCTGACTCATTATTCATACTCTTTGCACACTACACATTATGAATTTGATCAACACGTTGATATATTCATCGCCTGTGTACACTGCGTAAAATTCCCAAGGAGATTTCTTAGTAGTTCCTTTGTTATGATTTTTTTTAATTCTGAAAATCTAACAATATATATATATATAACTATACGAAACTTTGGTAAGTTAGAAAAAAAAATCGTAATTGAATAAAGCGTTTGTTTAACAAATCGATAAAGGACTTCATTTCCAGTCACACGTAGTACTTTTAAGTTACACGTCAAATATAGCCCATTTTGATTTAGTAGCAACTGTCAACGTGGAAAATAATTAAACAGCTTGAGAAATTAAATAGGAAAGTTAGCTCGGATGTATAACATTCATCTCATTCAACGTTTGCATCCATGGTAATAAATTTGACATTATATTTGAAAACATCCTTCAAAGAAATAGAACTTTGTGCTTAGAAAACAATGCGATGACAAGGATATTTTTTATCACTAGCCTTTGTCTCCTGAGCGAAAATGATGATGAGTGATGTGTTCTCAACAGTTTGTTTGTATAGAATGATACTGCACGGTTTACCGAAGCAAACAATTTCTTTTCTTTTCAGTAACGAACGTCGAAAAGTTATAAGAAGTTTATAATCGAGATTTTTTTCCCTTGAATCAATATGATCTTTGCAGACTTAAAAAAATATGGAGGCGAAAGTTCTTATCACTGTAAGGAATTTACATCTAACATTTTAATATATTCCATTCTTTTTGCTTATAAATCTCAGTTTTAAATTAAAAATTTATTGATTAATCATCTTCATATCTAAAACAAATAAAATATATACTGTGTGTGTATATATATATATAAGATATAAATTACTAAGAAGTTTTAGTTGTAAATCATTTTATTATCCGATTTTATATTGCACTTTACTGACTAACTGGCTGATTCAGCTTGCTGCAAACTGTATAATTCGGCAATAAAATTATATTTGATAGATTTTTGTCTTAAATTAAGTACAAGAAACAATACAAGTACAGAAAGGAAGGGAAAAATCTATATCATTTTCTCAGCATGGGTTGTAAACAGGATGTAGTATTTACTTGAAGAGAGGATTGGTTTAAATTGATAAAACTATTGTTAGAAATTGCCATAATTTTTAAAACGCATAATAGCAATTTTATAAATAATTTATAATTTTAAATATTTAATATTTATGTTATTCATCGATAAATAATAGAGCAGTTTTAATGGCGAATTTACAATTGTAATTATTCTATCAGTTTAACTTACGTAACTCATTTGCATACTTACATTCGCGCATTTAAGCGT